CCCCCCCCCCCGGCTTCCAGGCTGCGGGCGCCCCTGCGTGGCCGCCGTCGGGATCACGCCTTCTGCCTCTCGGGCGTGCGCAGCCGCCACTGCAGCATCCCAGCCTCCGGGCTCGGGGCTGGGGGGCAACTCAGGCTGGGACCAGAGCTTGAAGAGGACAGGGTACCTGTGTGTACACGCACGCGCGTGCGGATATACACGCACACTCGGGCGCGCACACATATGCATGCACTGCTATAGGTGTAAACATACATGTATACAGATGTATACGTGTGTAACGTGCACACATAAACGTGTACACATATTTATATGCACGTGTACACACGTGCACATGCATGCGTATACCACACCCATACAGGCACGCATAGGTTCACGTAGATATATATAAATACAGACATAACACACTATGCACACAACACACAAAGACGTGCACTTTTCCCACCAGAGAGACAGGCCATGCCTGCTGATCTGCACTGTGTTTTTCATTTAAGGATAGATCAGCTCATTCCTCAGCACCTGCTGTAGCCGCAGACACAACAGGGAACAAAGCAGACACAAACGCCTGAGCTCGCGGAGCTTGTGTTCCATCTGGGGGCAACCGGAGTGGGGAGCAGTGTTGGGGGGAGTCCAGTGTGTCTGTGGATGTGGGGTGGGTGGGGTGCACTTCTGTGACTCAGACGTGGTGGAAGCAGGCGTTCTGCCCCCTGCCTGCCAGGTCTGAGGGTGGGCTGCAGGGGTGCCTCAGCTCTGGAGCAAGAGGGACTAGATTGGATCCTCCCAGCCCTGATGTGCATGACCTCGCACATGATTTATCTCCCTGGCCTCAGGCTCCTTTTTGTAAACGGGGAGTGATGCTTTCTCCCTGGACAGTTACCCAGAGGACTGGAGAGGGGCGGGCACCTGGTGGGCAGCAGGTAGTGCTGCGGGGCCGGGGTCTGGGCCCGCGTCTGCCCCGCACTGTGGGCAGGTGCTGTTTTAAGGCCCATCATTTCCCCGGGTCCAAATCCTTCCACCCATTTTACGGTGAGAAAGCAGGCACTTGCCAGGCTCCCGTGCCAGCAGCAGGAGGGCCGCTTTTAATGCCGGTGCCCCAGTGGACTCCAACATCAAAGCAAGGAAGGGGACCTCGCGGGGTGGGTGTTAGGGGGCCGTCAGCACGTTTCTTGCCATGTCTGATGCCTCACTGCTCGGCCGCAGCGAGGAAGGCCTTTCCTGACGCGCAGCGGGGCTCC